CCAAGCTCCTACAACATTTACCAGTAATTTTGATTTCACAGGAATTAAGTGATTCCTAGGCATTTTATTTAAAAATTTAAAAATCCTCTATATACTGGTACTAAAATGGAGTGTTTGGATCTCAAGGCATGGTCTTACTTGGGCCTAGTGATACTAGCTGAATTAAAATTTTCATTTACACAAGAAGTCCTATATTCAGGTTGGAAAGTTCCTGTGAGATGCCTTAATGCAAAATCCAGTTAAAAAGTGTTGGACACAGGAATTAAAGACAGTGATTGAGAAAGGAGGACGGACATAGTGACAGCATATTTTAAAAGGGAGAAAACATTTGTAAAACTTTGCTTTATCTCTTTTTTCCATTGGCCTAACCCATCATATTTTTGTCACCTTGACATCATTTTTGCTACATAAATATTAAATTTTTCTTTTTCAAATAAAGTAAATTTATTGTAAGGGAATATCTTTAATGATTAAATTGATTTTCATTATCATTAGAGAAGGAATTGTATTGTTTTTGTTAGTGAAATGCTGATAAATAAATCTATGAACACTTTAATTCTTTTGAGGTGATAGATATGCTGTCAGTAGTATCCTTTTACCACAGCACATTTAATTCTTTAAATTTACCCCTCTGATTCCCATGGATATTTGGAATGAATCTCCATTCCTAATTTCAAATTTAGTGACCCTAATATATTGAAGAGCTTCACTTCCTAGCTTTCATACTAGTCACGTTTAGTGGTATCGGCTAATAACTAATCTAGTTAAAACTCTACCCAAATAGTATAATACACCAGTGAAATAATTTAGAAAAAAATACTAACTATAGGGGAAAAAACCCCTAATGAAATACTTGAGCAAAGTTGGAAACAAAAACTAAAGCAATTATGGGTTAGTGTTCTATGGATGCCGTGTTATCCCATTGATTATAAGAGCTGTGTTTTGTCTAGTGTCTTTGCCCTCATAAACAATGAGTAAAACTTGATGAGTTTATGTGTATTAAGTAAATAATGCTTATTAATCAATAAATGTGATTAAATGGGTTCGCTTTCTGTCTTTTTTCCTTTTGCCATGCACGTAGCTTTTACATATAAAGCGGAGTGCTCTCTTTCTAAGAACAGGTCTTGTGAAGCAGTATAAAGAAATGTTTCTTAACTATTGGTTTGGGCTTTCTACTTACTAACCCATCAAACAAACTCTTCCCAGCATGTTTCATGACTACTGAATCTTCGTTTACAATGAACATGAAGTAGTTGATAGTGAAAAGTACAGTTCTCATGTTGAACTTAACTTATTTTTGAAAATAATCTATTGTAGGGTATTTTGGGGGAAAAAAGCCCATAATTTCCTTTACAACATCTTACAACAAAACTTTAACAATTATTTGTGTATGGATGGTGGTTTAGACTGCAGTGATGGCAAACCTATGGACATATGTCCATAAGAAAATAAATTACTAATTTAGATAAATTATTGTGATATGAACATACAAACAATCTAAAAATAAATCTAGTCGATTATCATTATAAATATTTTCTAAATTAACTTTCTTATTTGGCAGGGAAGACCAAAGTAAATGATAAAAGGCTACTAAAACATTTGGTTTGGTTACCCTAATCACAACAGCATTAAAATAGGAAATAATGCTTAGACCTATGAGTCTAAGATTAAAATATAATGTGACTTAGAAATCACAAGTCTTGATTCAACCCGTGTGGCTGATTTCCAATCCCTGTCAACCAGAAGCATTTTAATAACCTGCCCTGTGTTGACACTTATTTCAAACATAGTAATTTTCTCATTTAACGTATTTCTGCTTTTAATTAGTGACTCTTGGTACATCAAAAGAACTTTATTAGAAAGATAAAAACTGTTTGAATCTGTCTTTTTTAAAACTGTCTGCTAAAATTGTTTGCCTTTGCATTATGGATTAGAACATCTAAATAAATCTGCCCTTTAACTAAAAAAATTAGGACAACCATAGAAACATAATGTATGACTGTGAAAAGTTAATGAATAGATATAATTTGATTATGTATCACATGTATGTGATAATACCATAAACTATAAGTAAAAATTAAATTCTAGATATCAGAATACTCTGTAAAATGTAATAAATTAGCAAATAAATTGAGAAATATGCCAGCTGGTTATCAGTGCTATAACAAAAACTACATGATGAAGAAAAGATGAGGGAGGAGTAAAGGAAGGAGGAAGGAGAGAGAAAGGAAAGAAAGGGAGAAAGAAAAGAAGAGAAAATCTTCAGGAGTCAGTTGTTTGGGAAAGACTTGGTCTTAGGAGAGGTAGATTTCACTGAGGTAAAACTTGAGCAAATGCTATGAAAATGGATAAGGTGGGCCAAGGTGATTAATGGTATAGAGTTTTGTAGCAGAATAACTATACAAGAAATGACCCATTTCATATCTTATTAATTGAACATATCTTAACTTGTGAAAACAAGATACACCTTCACAGATACAGATCTGAGTATTTGATTTTATAGAATCTCTAAGCTTATAACAAGACTTATTATTTGGTTTTATTTTCACAAAATTTTTTAAAAAGACAGAAGGTGATCCCAGTGAGGTTTCATTTTTTTTCTCTCTTGTCTGTACTAACATACTACGTACACAGAGAGAAATGTGATCATGTCCCATGCAAGGATGGATTTCCCATTTTAATGTTATGAAGTAATTTATGAGCGCCATTATCATGCCCAATGAGAAAGGATCCAAGGAAAAGTATGGCATAATGAAATCATCAACAGAGAAGTTTAAGGACTTTCTAAATCTAATAAGAGATACCAATAATAATTCCAAGTTATTTGCATTTTGATGCACTCTATTTTTTGGTGTTTTACATGTCTCTAAGCACTGCTGTCTAGGTCTCAACATCCTTTTATCCCTCTGCTAAGTGCACTAAGTGGAGGCTCTGAGTTGACAGTTTATGGTTTACCAATTCACTTAGAATATATGCCTGCTTTTGGTGGACTAAGCACCAAACAATGTACTTATCCTAAAGGATAAAAACTTCAATAAGATAATAAACTTCAATAAATTTGTAGTTTAGTGTGCAGGTAGGGGCAAACATAGAAAAAACCAAAAATATAATCTATAATGATAAGTACAATATTTAACAATTGCAGAGAACTATTTACAAGGAATCTAAGCATTTTTTATTTGTATTTCTAGTTGTCTTCATTGCTGCTAGGTAGGTACTTACACTAAGCACATCTTAAAATAAATGGCCTGAGACATAGAGGGGTCAAATAAGTTGCCTGTATCACGTAGTGGACTTTGGATTTGTGCCTGGGTCTTCAGACCACACACCCTGCTGCATTAATTTTATTTTGTTCCTTGTTTGGAAACTAAGATGACAGAATGATTCAGTTTGCAGATGTGTTAGGAGCAAGATGGTTCAGAGCAAGTATTTGCTAGACAGAGAAGACAAGAAGGACTTTTTACGTGAAGGAGTCGTGCAGCTAGGTAAAGAGAATCCTAGCCTCACTGAAACAAGGTATCAGGAACTCACAACTGCGTTCCTGGGTGGCAGGGTGAGTAGTGAGAGAAGCTGTAAGAAGCAGAAATGGCTGTCAATTGATGGATGACTCATCTCTTGCTAGAGATTTAATTCTTTGACTCGGGGGTGACCAGTGTTTCATGCTGTAAATCAACATTGATTTATGAACATTGGCTTATATTTTCAAGCCATGGCTTTCAGAGCAGCATGGAGGATTATCTGGGATCTAAGAAAACTTTTAGAAGGCTGTGTGATGATTTAGAGATAAATTTTGAACATAGCTAAAGATAGGGAGGGAAAGAAAGAATTGCTAATATGTGACAGTTTTCTTCATGATAGTAAGGGAAAAGGAGAAACAGAAAGCACACCCCGAATTTCTCACTTAGCCATCAGACAGACAGTACTTTCATTGACTGACATAAGAAAGAAAGAAGAAATAAGCTCAGTGGTGGGAGCAGTAAACTGCATACGTAAATGGAGATTTGTACAGACACCTGGCGACAAACCCTGTCCCGCCATAGATAATTCAGGTTTGGAGCAGAAAATTGTCTGTACAGTGGACAAGTATGACATCCCATAGGTAGGATGCAAACAGGGGATGTGTGACTTTATCCAGGAGTGATACCAAAGCCCAAAATGATCAAATCAGGGGAACACCATTGCTAAAGAGGCAGCACTTTGATAAAGTACAGTGAAACCACCTTCAAGGAATTAATCACAAAGACAGAAAGAAGCCTGGCTGAGGAGAAACACAAAAGACATGAAGTGGTATTTTGATGTGCTCTGTAAAATTCACACTTAAAAATACTTGGAATCAGTGAAAGGAGTGCAGCTGTGTCTTGGGTTTCTAACATTGCATGTGTTGGTTTTATTCACATGTTCTTTGTGTGAGGGTCTCAGCTTGAATTGATGAACATGAAAAGACAAATGACACTTTTTTACTGTTTAAATACCTTTCCTTCTTCCCTTCTTTCCTTCTTTCTTTCCTTCCTTCCTTCCTATCATCTATTTCCTCTTGTAAAATATTATGTGACTAAATGTATGTTTCCCTTTTCTATTGCCTGCTGAAAGTCATTAACCCGTAAGCCCCTGGGACATCGCTCATGGAACCTTACTATTGTGTGGATTGCATGAAACGATTGCAGAGCGAGCGCTGCCTTTCTCTTAACCCGACAAATGCCGTATTCACTCACCTCAGATTTGATCCTTTCTAGTGCAGTTGTATAAGTTTGAAAAGGCACTATATTTACTAGGTGAAATAAGAAAGGGCATTCAGTTAATAAGTATGTATGGATTCTGACACGTTTTGTACAGTCATCTTTATCTAAATAGAAACGCCATTTGCTAAATAAACGTTTGTTGATTCAAATACTGGGTTGAGTAAATCACCACCCCAGAGCTCAGTTTTTCCAGCTGCTCCGGGTAAACTAAGGGTTCCTGGGGTGGCTGACTAACCGCGAATCCCCCTCTGTCCCCCGCAGTGACCAGGACCGTGTGTGCAGAGCAGTGTGATGGGAGATGCTATGGACCCTATGTCAGCGACTGTTGCCACCGGGAGTGTGCTGGGGGCTGCTCTGGACCCAAGGACACAGACTGCTTCGTAAGTCTGGATGCCCCCACTTCCCTGCCATCCTCCTGTCCACCTGCCTCGGGGATCTCAGATCTCTCACATCCTGCTAGGCCATGGCGGAATTTCTTAGTTTTTTTGGATAGCCACCTGCTACTTTCCTAGAAGTCCTTCTCTCTCCCTGAGTCCATTATGGATCAGCTAGAATTTTTCTGTTCTACTAATTGAATTCCACCTTTTTTATATACTTGGAATTAAAAATGAGATTATTTGGCAAATATGAAGGAGGAGATTTTGAGATTTTCAAAATCATCATCATAGTGCCCTTTCCACAACTGCACCAATTACTTGTGTATGTTGTCGCCCCGAGTCCTGTGGATGAGTTATTGCATTTTATTTCTGAGTCCACGATTTAACAGATGGATTTCAGAATTTAACTATTTCCTTCTTTATATTGTTTAATAGGGTAATATTATTTTAAAAATTAAAATTTATAAATGTACACTGAAAATAATATACATGCTAATCTGTTGAATTTTTTTGAGAAGAGGACAGCTTTACTTCCTTAAAATTAATGTTTATTGCTTAGTGGAGACACTATTTAATTACATTTTTATATCATTTCCTTGATTTATCCTTTGGCATTCATGCAAGAAATTCTGTGTGCTGTCATTAACTCACTTTTATAAACCAGAACCCTAGTTTTGTATTTTAACTTAAAATAGTAAAACTAAGAAATTATTCTATTGTTAAAATAAACACAAAAATATTTTTCTTTTACACTCTTCACAAATACCCAATAAATAAACCTATATAGTAGAAGTGAACGTTTACAAATGACAATTTGAATAAGCAAAATAAAAATTAAAGCTCTTACATTATTGAGAGCAGTCTCATTAATTTCAACATTATAAAAAAGCTTGTTTATTGTAATGTAATTGTATAGTGAGACAAAAATATGTAGAAAGGGGTTAGGAAGAAGAAATGCTCATTAAGGAGTTAAAAATCTGGGGGAGTGAGTGGATCACAAATTGAGAAACTTTGTTCTTTTGTCAAGAGAGGCTGGAAGTTTGCTTTTGGAGTTACTGAACCCTGCAGGTATTACATTAAGGGATCCAAGACAGTAACAACAATAAACAAGGATAGCAAAATGTCTCACTTACAAGTTCTGTACTGCGTGTGTCACTGTCATATTGGGGTAAGCAGAGGGCAAAGAACTTCCATATTCTCATTTCATTATTTCTGTGGAGTGGCCCAGTGACTCCACTGTGGAATTTGGTACACAAGGTTCATAAAAGCCAGGCTGCGGCCTCTGTGTATAAGTTACACTGGCTTAAAGATAATTTGTTTTCTTCCTCCTGCTTATGTTCCTTTGTTCCCAAGCCATCTATGCACAACACATAAAGTACGTTAGCCAGGCAAATTATAAGGACACGGGAAGTTTCATAGCCATAAATTAAAACTTTCTGAAATATCTAGATTGGTTTTTAATAGATTCTGCGTAGAAAGTGTCATCTTAGTGAATAATGTATCACCAGTGAGTCTCATTCTGATTACACTTCTAGTAGCCCATTGTCAGGGAGTTGTCGTATTGGTGATAAAGTGCTTGCTAAAACAACAATTGATGAAGCAAGTGTTTTGAGGAAGCAGAATAAATTAATGCTTATTAATAACAATATGTGATTTATGGTGAAATACAAAACAGAGCCTGGGTTCACAGTAGCTTGCTATTCAAGGCCCAAATTATTCCTGTGAAGCTTAATTTCTTAATTAAAAGAATTGGTTCATCTACACTATTGCTAATCACGTGTATATGACTTATACATATGTTTTCTTGTGATATCAAATAGCTAACTCTCAGGTGGTAAAAGTTTTAATTCTTCTCAAATGAGTTTGAAAATGTTAATAAATTATGTCCTCCAGAAAAAATAAATATCAGCAGAAATGGACTATTTTATGTAAATGTAATGGCTTTAGTAAATTGTGTGGTATTACAAAGCTGTGTAAGAAATGGTGTCATATTATTGAATTTACATGGTAAATTTTGGCCTTACATAATATGTTTATACTTAGCTAGTCACCCGATAGAGACTTTTGCTAAGTACAGTTAAGCAACAATTCCAATATTTTTCATTATACAATGGTAATCTTTCTACTTAATATGCCATTGAAGGCATTGAATTCTTAAAATAGAAGTCTCAAAAAAAAGTCTAATATCTTGTATTAGGGAGTTAGTTGATTTTAAACATCTAAACCTACATGCTTTGAATTTGCTGGAGCTTAAATAGTTCAGCCTACTTTAGTAATTAAATACATCATCAATTTAGATTTTACTATATAGATACTAAGCAATTTGAACATCACTAATCACACACACTGAGATTGGAAAATTTTTGTGAATTTTTGACACACAGATGACTTTAGAGTTATGCATTCTTTAGTATTTCTATAATGGATATATACTGAAAATACAAACTTCTCAAGAAACCATTGAAGCAGTTTCACTAACATACACTGTGCAGGTTATTTGTAGATAAAACCATGTTTGCTGTTTTTCAGGCCTGCATGAATTTCAACGACAGTGGAGCCTGTGTGACTCAGTGTCCCCAGACTTTTGTGTATAACCCAACCACCTTTCAGCTAGAGCACAACTTCAATGCCAAGTACACCTATGGCGCATTCTGTGTCAAGAAATGCCCACGTAAGTGACAGGACGAGAATCACCACGTTAACTAGAACATTACTGGGCAATGAGTGAACGCCAGGATCATACTACTTTACCCATATTACCATATTACTTTGGGTGTGGGGAATGTGGCTTCTGTTTGACCAATAAAGGAATTAAAGTTCAAAGTTAAATCATTGGTTCAAAGTTCACAGCCAAGAAGCAGCATATCTGAGGTTAAAGAGTTGCTAGCAGTTAAACTCTTCCTATTTTTACTACACCTGTTTTTCTGTAGATTGTACGATTTCTCAGAAAGATTAAGCCAAATAAGGGCGACAAGCAAGCCAATAAGTACAGTCTACTTTTAATAAGAATGAATTGCCTTCTAATTTTATTCCTGATTATTTACCCTAGAATATATATTATTATCATTCTCATATCAAATCCCATCTTAAACAAAAATGATAAATAAAAAATGTGTTAAGGGATCTTTTGCAAACCGGTAACTCACTGTGGGGTTTCATAGTGATGAGCATAACTCAGGTACTCAGTGTAATAAATACATATGTCGATGTTTGCTTGAATCAGTTTCTTTGATTTAAGTGGCCAAAGGGACTTTCTTCAATGTTTTACTTATTGGAGAAGCAATAAAATAAAATAAAATCACATTTTTCACATGCTTATTTAAATGTCAGCTCTAAATATATAGAATACAAATTTCTCATGTATTATATACTATAGATGTAGTATCTTATAAAATTATGGATTCGTTTAAGCACTGTGATATTGTCCACTGTAAAATTCAAATTTCTGCTGTACCTCTTTTGAATGTCTTAGTTTACCAAATTAGAGCTGATTTGGGAAAACAAGGACATTTGTGTTCTAAATACAAATATACAACCTCTGATCCTGACATCTGAAATCTGAAAACTCCAAATAACATAGATTTGAAATTAACTTGGCTGATCTTCAAATCCTGGACCTAACCTACTCAAAATCTCTATTTATTCTATTTGGTTGAAATTGCTTTAGATATATGAAAAAGTTTAATTATGCAATATTTCCAGAACCTTGCAGAAAAAAATGATTACTTAATATTTAGTGTATGTACTTGGAATGGTTTGAGTTCCCCTGGAACAGACATTAAGTTATGAGGGTGTGTTCTGGGATTCTATTCTTGTAGAGAAAGGGAAGGAAGCAGGATTGGGATTTGGTGTCATTGCAACAAAGGATCTCATATGGTGGATGCTCTGTGTGGGTACCTTGGGATGCAAACACTTTACACTTTGTGCTTTCATATCCCTCTACTCCAGACTTGCAATATCACCAGATTTTTCTGTATTTTTTTGTCCTAAACCAGCCACTGCTCATAAGTGCACATATATTCTAAATGAAGGCCATGTCTTTCTCCACACACAGTGAGTAACTAGGTAAATTATGTACAACGATGCCCTTTGAGAGGATATTATCTTGCCTGTATCTTTCAAGTCCACCCCACGTGGAGACTGCAAGGAAGCTGCCACCCAATTTTGGCTCGTACCTGCCTACAGAGTGTGGCTTTGTCTTCCTCTGTTAGGTGGTCACATGATCTCCAAATAGCCCACGGTGGTAACAGTGTCAGCACTGTCTACCCTTCCTTCCCCTGTCCACATCCAATCTCAGATGAAACACCAGTTTCACAGTGGTTTGCTCTTGGCTCTGTCCAATGTTGTGAAATCATGATTCTAATCAAACTCTGTGCAAAATGGGCCTTTATGCTCCAAGCTCAATCACTGACCTATGGTTAGATGCTGCATCTCTACTGGGACCCAGAAGTATATCAAGCAAAAGCTTTCTGTTTAATGATGTAAAATCTTGTGCTATTGATAGTGTGGCCCAGCACTGGAAACCCAGGGGTCTTGTTTTTCCAGTTGGAACCTGCCAAAACTCCAAATGGTATTACTTTCAGTATATGGAAGATGCTTCCAGTATCATAAAGCATCTCGGGTTTTATGACCTCAGGAGAAGAATTACCTGTAATTTATGTGCTTTCTGCCATGGGCACCCTTCAAGTCTGACCACCATTCTCCTAAACATTTTCCAAAGTTCCAGTCTTATGAAGTTCCTTGTCTGCTTCATGTACCTTTTGTAAAGTATATCATTTGATTTCACTTTGTTTCTTCATATAAAAATAGAAGAAAGCTTCTGGGGCGCTCTGTGAAACAGAACACATTTTAAACATTTCCTCCTGGATCTGAAGTACCCTCGCTGGGTCCAAGGCAGTTTAACTTAAGCTTCATTTGTGCTTCATGAACTTGAAGTATTTTTAGACTCCAGACTTGTATCATGACGTGAAATGAAGGGGAACAATTGAGAAACACAAACTAAATGTCATGTAGTTTCCTGAGTCTATAAAAGAAATCCACTCTGTCTTGGGGGCAATTCAGGCTGTACCGCACTAGTCAAGCAAGTACTGGTGGTTTTTAACACACTCTGCTCCCAGATTTGACTGTGAATTGTTGGAAATACTATTTCAGATGGAGATATTTAAACGCACAATTGTGTCGGAGGAAGACACATGTACGCCAGCAGTGTTGTTAATCATTTTCAAACACTAAAATAGGCTGTTTTAAACTCACTAGCTGAACAGTAACATTGTGTATTACTTCACCTTTTTTTTGGGTCAGATAACTTTGTGGTAGATTCCAGTTCTTGTGTGCGCGCCTGCCCAAGTTCCAAGATGGAAGTGGAAGAAAATGGGATTAAAAAGTGTAAACCTTGCACTGATATTTGCCCAAAAGGTAAGTGATGGCTTAGTGTACAGATATGTCAGTGAGAAGAGGAATATATATCATGATTTTCATTTACTTTTTAATGGGCCAATCAAGTTACCTCGCGTTACAAACCCATTCCCACAGTGCCAACGTCCTCCCTCTCACTTGCCCATCTTGACTTTGGACAGTTTCCTAAAGTGTTAACTAACTGCATAGCATTGGTTTTGAAATATATTAACAAAAGAGTCTAGATTAAAACGCCAAGTAACATTGATGAACATACAGAAATAAAATTGTATTTTGTTTTACCAGCAACAAATAGAAGTTTTGCACAAAGCAAGGACTCGTGTGCTTTTTTATGATTGTGCCACACGTTCATTGCTTCTTACTGCCCTCAAAATGACCTGCGAGTCATGTACAGGGACAACAAATGGGCATGCAGCATGATATTTGGTCTTAAAAATATTAAAAATCTTAAAAATATTTTGAAGCTATGTGACATGACAAGGGAGCTTACCATAAGTGTTAAACAAATGTTGCAGATAACTCACATTGCAGAATTTTGGTGGAGGAAGAAATTCCTTCCAGCTGTGAGCGCTCAGATTCCTCACCAGAGTGAAAGTTAAATTAGGCAGCACCAAAGTATAGTTCAAGCCTCCCAAGTGCTATTAAGCTTTTCAAACTGTCAGGGAGTGCCTTAGAAAAGGGCAAACTTCACGTTAACTTTTAGACTACCTCCTCTGTGTGTCTCTCTCTGTCTCTCTTTGTCTCTCTCTGTGTCTGTCTCTGTCTCTCTACCTCCCCCTCTGCCTTTCTCTCTCCCTCCCTTTCTCCCTTCTCTCTCTGCCAATCGCTCTTCCACCCTTCTATCTCTTTTTCACTCTTCTCTTCTCTATTTCATGCACACGCACATATTTTTTTTAAAGTGCAGCTTCAGAAATCAAAGATATTTTGAAATCTAAATATAAGTATATGAACGGCCCTGGGCATTGGTAATAATTCATACCATCAATACTCTTTGGTTAATATATATTCTTCAATGGACCTGTGTTTTTTAAATTACGATTTCTATTTAGTAGACCAGGAAATAATTTTTACCATTTGTAGTCAGCATGATAAAAACATTAAAAATAGTACTTTACCATGGATTAAGTAAAACAGAATATCACCTACTAAAGGAAAGTATTGTGTGATAATGGCCCTGTCCCCATAGTACATGTGTTATGAGTAGATACTGCATCTTTTCACAAACTGTAATTCTGAAAAGGGCTATGGCCACTGGGATGGGACAGTGCAGGGACAGTGTTTTAAAGTGGGCCTCGTAGTAAGGGTTCAAGTAGTTCTTTTAACTTTCAGGAACAAAATTTGTAATTGTTTTTATTTACTAATAAAACATCATGATGAGAGTGAAACAATTGATTTGTTGGCCAGAGTCTGTTGTTCAGTCCTGACCATACGTCTTGTTCCGATAGCTTGTGATGGCATTGGCACAGGGTCCCTGATGTCAGCTCAGACCGTGGATTCCAGTAACATTGACAAGTTCATCAACTGCACAAAGATCAACGGGAACCTGATCTTCCTTGTCACTGGTATTCACGGGTCAGTATTCCACTCTTGCACGGGATTTTTTAACAGTGTAGACAGAGCTGAAGAGATTTCTTGGCTATGTTGATTTGTTTCCTATTGACTCAGGGTAGTTTTACCCACATGCTCTTTACCCACAGAAGCAATGGTCAGATCACCACTAGGGACAGAATACCAGAGTTTGGGGATAATCTGCATTTTAAGTTTAGTGACTACTGAGGTTCAAAAACACAAGTTTAAATTTAAGTTAAAATGTATACATAGAATATTCTCAAATGCATAATTTTTGACAAGTTTGAGTTTTTTTTAGGTATGTCTAAGGAACAATATTAGTAGATAAGATGGGGGACTTTATTCAGGCTTTTAAATGGATACATTGAGGCAACATGAATTAATATTCCATCAGAAAACTCATATAAAGCAAATCAAATCATCTAACATAAAGCAGAGTTGAATTTCTCCTAAGCTCCTTGCAGAAATTATTTGTCTTCATAGATTCCTTTTTGTTAATTTTGGAAGTTAGTGCTGCTGTAGGAGATATATTAAGTGCATTTCATTTTGGTAATAAAAATTGTCAGATTCTCTGGGCTCCTTTATTACAAAATCACCTGCTGACTTTAACTGGAAAGACAATCAAATTTGTATTCTTTGGATTCTAATAAAAATGTCAATATTTTTACTTTAAGTCTTATCTGTTTGTCTACATTACTACTTAGTCCCTAAATACTGGGCTATGGGCTACAGATAATGAATATCGCTCTCATATTTCAGTTCAAACTCTTACTCTGATCATACATCACATCATTTCTAGAAGCAAAGTAATTTAACACATTACAAATAAATATGTTCAAATAGAAACTGCAAGAACAGTACCATGAAATGTTTTTTATTCACATACTTTGTGCAACTGCATAAAATATCTCTTTACTTTAAAATGTAGCTTTTGTTGTGGTCCCATGTCAGACACTATAATTACATACGGGTGCTCTCTGCTCAGTTTGTTATAATTGGCTCAAGCAAACATTGTTAAAGATTTTAAATAGCCTTTAAAACTGTGCAGACCTAGAAAGTCTCCACCAGATTGCTACATAGCACTAAACTGCTGGAAATGGTAACACTACCCGGTTTAAATGGGACCTACTGAGCAAACTGTGCCTCAGGCCACACCTGATCTCTGGATCCGTTTGCATTGCTGCCTTGGTGGCCGTGGACCACTGGGCCAGAGACCTGGATCAACTTCTACAGCATGTGTTGGAAATCAAATCAAGGCAAAAGTTTCTTTAAGTTAAATAATTCTTATTAGTTTAAGTAATTATTTGTACCTTAATCATGGCACATGTACTGGAATATTTGAAGTTGTAACAGATGTTTTTGTATCGCAAACATAATATACATCACATTTTAAGGAGAAATATATTTGTGAAATATGATACATTTTTAATTCAACTTCATTGACTTCATGAGACATATATTGTGAAGTTTTTCCTTAGGAAAGTATGACCATGAAGTTAATTTTGTAAATGAGAGATACTGTGTTTGTGTGTGAAGGTGTATTGGTGTGTGTGTGGAGATTTAAAAATTCAGAGTTTATAGAGATTTTAAAGGAGAATAACCACAGATATTATCAATAGAAAACTTCTAGTAAATAATGGTTTGTGTCACTTAATTGCCCTTGGTACATTTCTACCAAGTTTTTATATAAGATTATATGGATTATTAAAATAACCCAGTTTCTTAAAATAACGAAAAATTAAAAATATCATAAATAAATGAAAGAAAGTCCTACAGAAAATGAATTACCCAGCATTTTGTTAGGTACCATTTCAATATGAAAGGGCTAAAAAAATAAATTGGGTCTAAAAATTTGTAGTACTGTAGTCCTATTATCAGAAGTAGGCACACATTTATTTATTTAAAATAGGAATCTCCTATGCTGGAAGCCATAGGAATATTCCTCTTTGTTTGTCATGTTCGACACCATTCTTTTGCTGGTTCTTAACATCTCAACGTGCTCACCAAAGATGCATACCGATGCTGTGTCACCGTGAGGCACTGGTGAGGAGACGCTTGCATGATACACTGCAGTGATGGTGGCCAGACAAGAACAGATAATAGGTTTGGTGATCAAAAAAAGCAATGTCAGTGAAATTGGGAAACTGTGTCCTTCACTGTGTCCTGAACTTTGTTTTGTATCACCAAACACAGTGAAATGGTAGGCACAGGGTAGCAAAGTTCCCAATTTTTAGGGTTGTAGATTTCAAGGGGCAGGAGGATGAAACTCCCAAGAGGTGCTTTGAAGTTGGTAAGTGGAATTCTTTCAGCTTATTTTATGAGTCCTAAGTCCCTAAAATTAAGTGTATAAAATTCCTTTGGTCCATTGGGCTTGGTACTCTGGCTAAAGTCCAGAATTTATCTTATTCTGGCAGCCTGGGATCATTTACAGTAAATGTTTGTTCTCACTCTGTTATTGTGTACTTGCTCTGACTTGCGTTGAGCCTTTTTCAATAAAGCCAGTGCATTTGATTGTATAATCAGAGTTATTCTACACCCTGCTTTTCATTAACAGAGAAATGTCAAAAGCTCATTTTCCTCCTGTAGAACCTTTGTATGCTTCTGCATGCAAGCCTTTTTGAATGTTAAAACACGAGAACAAGTAGAGCCTTCCTATATGGTCTGCTTCCTATTCACCAAAAGCATAGTTATGCAGTTAATATTTATTTACTTATAAATGTGACAGATTTACTATAACATTTAATTGGGACTTGAGACTTTCAAATGGCATTGATTTAACATTGAAAAAATTCCTGATCGATGGTCTAAGTGTGAGTTATGCTTTTTCCCCAGTCTCACTAATATCTAGTTTTTGAGCTTTCCACAGCACTCCATGACAAACACTCTACATTACACTGAATCTACTGCTTAGTTTCAAATAATCAAGCAAATTTATTTAGACAGTGAGATAGTTCACAGTGTATAATATGTTGATGAACCCAGCCCGGAAACTTAGCATCAGGCTGTTCTAGATATCAACTGATAGTCTTTTTGAGATTGTCGTGCTGACATTAAAAAACAAACTAAAAAATAGTGCCAGTGAATTGACATTGAAATTGCCAGGAGACAAATTGAGCGCAATCAGTTTGTCAGGGGATTATGGATGATCTTGACTGACAGGGGGACTCCTTCTAAGACTGTATCTAAGGGCCCATTATATCTAGTCTTTGTTTCCTATATCAAAATAAGGTTCTCATAGATCAGTAAGGATACCTGTCCATAGGAAGAGTAGAATTCATGTTCTTGCTGTAGCTAGATATACTCCTGAAAATACCTACCTTCATTGTTTAGTAGGCTTAATCTCTACTGAAAAGGTAGTCAGTGCCCAGAATTTTATCTTTATGTAAAAGGCAGATATCAAAGTGAAGTCTGACATTGCCCAGGAAAGTCTTCTAATGTATTACTACTTTTAAAAAGTATTGTGTACTTCTTAAAATAAAGGTTTATATTGGGTATAATACTCAAATATGTGGTTATATGGCACTGCCAGTTCATTATGTTTTTATTTGAAAAATATTTTCTTAAGATAAAATAATATTTAATTTGAAAAGACAATATAGTTGGGTCTGGTCACTCTGGGAGGCTGAGGCAGGAGGATTGCAAGTTCCAAAACAGTTTCATCAACTTAGTGACTTAGCAAGACCCTGTCTAACAAAATGAAGAAACAGAGAAAGAGGGTGAGAGCAGGAGAGGAAGGGAGAGGAGAGAGGGAGGGAGGGAGGGAGAAAAAGAGAGAGAGAGAGAGAGAGAGAGAGAGAGAGAGAGAGAGAGAGTTGGCTATGTAGCTTAAAGCTCAACGTGAGGATCTTGGTACCAATTTCTAGCACCAAAAAAACTTTTATGGTCATTTTCAAGTTTCTTCATGTCACTCTGTTACAATAGTATATTTATGCATTGGGAGATGGTATTTGAGAAATCTCTGAAATTTATATCTTTTGAAATTTATTGTGCTTTCTTTTCAAATAAAATATAATTCATGTAGTTTAGGTGGAAGTAAATATTTCCTGTGTTATATTGATAACAATAAATAAGCCAGAGAGGAGCAAAATGATTCTTAACAATCTATAGGAAGTGTAAATTCATACATTTTGAAAATTTATGGATGCAGACCTAAAAAATAGTAAGACTTTTCTGTGTTTCTTTCTGTCCTGTTTGTCAGTTACAAGTGCTACTAGCAATTTATACTGCTTCTGAAGAGCCCAACACTAATAATTCTTACTGTGATATTATTTATATCCAGATCATATTCTTCATGATTAAAAGTAAAGTTTTAAAGATCAAACAAATAAAATGGCTCATTCATGGATTTGCTATTGTTGTATTTGTCAGGATGATAGAAGTCGGATCATTTTTATAGCCTTCGAATATCTTTTGATAACGAACTTGCATTCTGTGTTATCAAAATTCTAAGAGTACTTAATAAGCCCCCTCTAAATGTAGTGTGTAAAGTTTGAACAATGCATTCTTAAATTTCTATTCTAAGTTAAAGTTAAATTTGGATGAAGTAACTATTCTCTCTTTCCTCATATTTTGAAATCTGGCTGAATCTGTTCTTGACTTTCTAGGGACCCATACAATGCGATCGAAGCTATTGACCCAGAGAAACTGAATGTGTTTCGCACAGTCAGGGAGATTACAGGTACTTTTTAAACTTCAGTGTTCGTACTATGCACTGTGAAAGTTCAGTGTGTTCCTGAAAGAACTGAATAATATTTGCACCACAACTAATTTTGTGCAAATATTATTTATTATATAACATTATAAATTATATTTATTATATTAGTTATATAACAAGAAGTATCATAAGGTTTTGCTTTTGTGTTTTATTTCAAAGGACCATTGAATTACAAAAATAAATATCCTTGGAATTTTGTCACTATTGTTTTAACAAAAGTCATATAACCTAGAATCTTTGTTTTATTACTATTATTAAGTTTATGGTATGATTTAGATGTACAGACACATTTTCACAGGGAATTTGTGTCTGTACAGAACATAGCTTAATTCCTATTTTTATCTCCTGTTCCTAATCTTCCTTAAGCCGCTCCTCCCCTTTTTATTTACAAAAACTGTTTCTATTTTATCCTTCTTTTGTCCTTTCTTTCTCTTTCCTTTCTTCCTTTCCCCCTTCCTCCTCTCCAGTTTCCCTTCCTGTTTGAACAATGTGTCACTATTTCACAGTATCTATTACACATTTGGATTCTTATTTACATTTTCAGTTTCTTGCACCAGAGAAACAATGTGATATTTACACAAGTGTGTCTAATTTATTTCACTTATGTTCTCAAGGTCCATCCATTTATCTATAAATGTCTCAAGTTTATCCTTCTTTATGAATAGTACCCTATTAAAAAATCACCTGCATCTTCTTTATTCATTCCTCAGTTTATGGGCATTTGGGTGGTTTCCAAGATTTAGCTATTACAAACTGTGCCACTATAAACGTGGGTACACATATATTGCTATGGTAAAATGCCTTCAATTCTTTTCCCCACAAGGGGAATAGCTGAATCAAAAGGAGGCTTTAGTCCTAGTTTTTTGAAGACTCTCCATAGTGGTTGCACCAGTCTGTACTCCCTCCAATAGTAGACAGCATTCTTTTTCCCCCCGCATCCCCACCAGCATTTGTTATGATTAATTTCTTGATGATAACTATTCTTTCTGGATCAAGATGGAATCTCCGCACTATTATAATTTGCTTGCCTTGAATTATCAGTAATGTTGAAAATTTGTTTCATATTTTTTCCATTTGTATTTCTTTATCTAAGAAGTATGTATTCCTCTCAGATGCCTATTTTAAGATTAGGGAATGTAAATTTGACGATGTCTGATGTTTTTCAGTTTTTTTGTATGTTTATGGTGTTAGTCTTTGTCCAAGGATCAACTGACTAAAATTTTTGTCCACTCTGTGGCTTGAATTTTCACTCTGTTGGTGATTTCTTTTGATGTGCAAAAGCCTTTACACAACATGAGATTTCAGTCACTGATGGTAGTATTTTCTATGCAGTCAGGGTTTTGTTCATGAAGTTTTTGCCTACATCTTTGTGTTCAAGAATTCTACCTATTTTATCTTCCAGCAGTTTTAATTTTTCTGTTGTAATACTTAGATGTTTGATCCATTTTGACTTTACGTTAGTGCATGGTGATAGACTCGGGTCTAGTTTTAGTTTTAGGCATGTGGAAAGCCAGTTTTACTAGCACCCCTTATTAAAGAGGCTATCTTTTCTTCCAGTAAATGTGTTTGCCCTCCCCCCTACCCCTTTTTTTTAACCAGGGATTGAACTCAAGACCTCACCCTTTCCAGGCAGGCGCTTGTGCCACTGAGCTAAACCTCCAGCCCTGGCCCTTTTTTTCAAAGATAAGGTGGCTGAATGTGTTTGGGGTTGATTTTATAATTTTTGATCTGTTCTACTGAGCCTCACATCTGTTATTTTGCCAGCACCCTGCTGTTTTTATCACTGTAGCTCTGTAGTATAATTTCCAATCAGGGATCATAATCTCTTCTATTTTGCTTTGTTGCCTAGAAGTGTTTTTGGTATTCTAAGTCTCTTCTAGTTCCAAATGAATTTTTGAAGTTTTTTCTCTAATTCTGTGAGGTAAAGTAATGGTATTTTGAGTAGGATTACATTCAATATGTGAAACAATTTTAGAAGTATGGCTATTATCATTATGTTGGTAATTCTTACCCAGCAGCAAAAGTTTTCTTTTCCATTTTCTGATATACTTTTTGATCTCCTTTTTCAGAGAACTGTAGTTTTTATTGTAGAGATACTTTACTTCCTTTGTTAAATGGGTTCCTAAGTATTTCATTTTTTGATGCTATTGTGAAAGGCATTGTTTCCCTAGTTTGTTTCTCACTGAGTGTTTTAATGTGTGGACAGGAATGCTATTAATTTTGGGGGTTGACTTTGTATCCAGCTATGTGACTGAATTTGGTTATTAAATGTAGTAGTCTTTTGAAGGAATTCTTGGGTCTTCTGTGTAAATTATCATGTCATCTGCAAATAATAATAATTTTACTTCTTCCTTTTCTCCCTTCTTCCTTTTATTTCTTTTCCCTTGTCTAATTGCTCTGGCTAATGTTTCCAGAACTACACTGAATAGGAATGGAGATAGTGGACATCCTTGTCATCCTTTAAAATCGTGATTTTAAAGTGAAAGCTTTCAGTTCCTGAGCATTTAGTATCATGTTGGCTGTTGATCTGTCATATTTGGTTTTAATCAGATTGTTATAAATACCATCTATTCCAATTTCCTGTAGGTTTTCTTTTTCATTAATGGGTGTTGGACTTTGTCAAATGGTTTTTCTGCATTTATTGAGATGATCATGTGATTTTTGTCCTTAGTTCTGTTGATATGGTATATTACATTTATTGATTTGCATATATTGAACCATCTCTGCCTCTCTGGTATGAATCTTACTTGTTCAAGGGGTATAATCTTGACTTACTGCATTCTGTTTGCCAGTATCTTATTGAGGACTTTTGTGTGTATTTTCATTAGAGAGATTGGCTTGTAATTCTCTTTTTTGGTTGAGTTCTTCTTTGGCATTGATGTTAAGGTAATACTTGGTTTCAGGAATGACTTTGGGAATATTGCTTCCTTTTTAATTTCATTAAAGAATATCTACAATTGAATGATAATGGCAGTAAAATATACTTTAATTTATGGGATGCAATTAAAGCAATCCTGAAAGAAATTTATATATAGCAGTGAATTCACATATCAGGAAAATAGAAAGAACTCAAACAACCTATTATTGAACTTCAGGTTTCTAGAAAGAGAAAATTGGGTGGATGACACCGGAGAATCATTGTGAGTTCAAGAATCAGGAGAATCATTGCGAGTTCAGCCTGTGTTACAAAGCAAACTCATGGCTATCATAGCAAGACCCTGTCTCAAAAAGACAAAAAAATCAGAAGAAGACCAAGTCAAGTCCAAAGTTTGTACAAGGGAGGAATTTATATCAGAACATAAATTAATGCAGTTGAGACTGAAAAGACAATACAAGGAATCACTAAATCAAAGAATTGGTTCATTGGAAGATAAAATTTATATGCCCTTAGCCAACCAAAAATGATAGAAAAGACTCACAGTCATTCAGTTAAGAACAAAAAGGGTAAAATTATAGCAGATCTTGTGGAAATCGATATCAGTACATAATTCAAGAACCTTAACTCTAACAAGAAAACATAAATGGATAGATTTTACATGCATATGAATTAAGGAGGAAGATATGAAAATTCTAAATATCCAAATTCAGTCAATGAAGGTGAAAATATAATTAAAACTTACCAATTAAAAAAAAAGCTAGGTCTTGATAGATTTACTGCTGAATTCCACAACAAACTTATTGAAGAACTAATGCCATTACTCTTCAAACTCCTTAGTCTATGATCTTTGAACTCAAGTTTTTCTATTTATTTTCTGAGAAGGAACATGAAGCATTTTCTTAATACATTTTTATTGCATTTCTAATATCTTCAAGACTATGATAATATGTATTATTGGACCCATAGATATGAAGCAGATAAAGACTTACCATTGAGCAGTGTAAAATCCAATGAAGAAAACTAAATATATACATAAATGTTGTATAAGGAAAAATAATGATATCACAAAAACAACTAAAATGATAAAGAATTTTAGATAAATTAAAATGATGTTTTTTTCTCTTTAGACTGCATTTTTTTACAATCATTAGAATAAACTGAGTCATTTAAAAATTTTAATATATAGTTTTATGATTATACATGTCTGAGAAATAAAAATTCTTGGATCTATACTTTTGATATTATTTCTTACCTTGGAAATTTATGGTAAGGCATTCAATGATGGAAGAATAAATATATGATAGAATCCTTTAAAAATAGAAATGTTGAATGCTTTTTGTTTACCTGTCACATGTTTGAATATATTTTAATTGTATTAAAGAATAAACAATACTATTTCTAAGACCATGATGATCTGATTTAGTCATGCTGTCTCTATCACTCTAGGTTTCTTGAACATACAATCATGGCCTCCAAACATGACTGATTTCAGTGTTTTCTCTAACCTGGTGACCATTGGTGGCAGAGTTCTCTACAGGTCGGTATAAATGCTTACATCTGCAGCTGGCTCAGATTCCAAGAGGAGAATCATGTCTACATGAAGTTGAGATAATCAGTAGTATTGATATACTGCTTCTGAAAATATATGTTTCTAACTTGAATTCAAAGCTCAACAAAAATAATGAAATAAAATATACAAGTATGTATTTTGATTTTTTAACAGCATATCACACGATAATAGTGTTTTATAGGTATGGAATGAATGATCTGAACCAAATAAACATTATGTTTGATTTTATGTTGTTATAACTAAAGGTAGAGTTCGGTGATTTGATAATGTCTCAGGCATATGGAATATAAATACTGTTCTACCAGAAGGCTCATATAAGATCAACAAGATTATTATGAATACAACCAACAAATGTGTCCACCTGGAAGAGCCAGTAACAGATTCCTCCAAAGACAGTAAGGACACCATCCAGAAGTTTCAGAATCTGACATGGCAGTACCCTTTCATTTAATATCTTAAATAGTCATCAAGATATTGGCAGAAGGATCAGGAATTTGCCTACAATATTCACCACTTACAGTCGCTCAGGTGCCCCCTTGTGCTATTGTTAGCATGTCTAATGCCCTCCAATTTTGGAGGACAGATTCCCTCATTGAATTTACTGCTTCAATGAAGAGAGAGAGATCAGCAGAGTAACTGCAGAGTATGGAAAAGCATTGTCCAAAGATGAGGACTGTCTCTGACCCCCGAGGAAACACAGGCCAAGTCAGTTGAGAGTCCTGGTCATGAGGATTTTCAAAAGTAAAAAGAAACTGGGGATCTGTATGTAAAAGAATACAATAGAAGGCATTTTTAAAACTGACACAAAACCAACCAGCATCTTCTGGCACCTGAGAAAGGGGAGTGTATGGGTTAGGTACATCTGGGTAGATTGGCATTACTGCCTTATTTACTAATCTAAGGTCCTCTAGCAGTCTTACTCTCCATTTGTCTTTTGAACTGCCAAGATTGGAGTGTTTCAAGGGTTGTGACTGTGTAAGTAGACCTTGTGCCCTTAAATTGTCAATTATAGGCAATAGTCCTTTTTTAACTTCAGGCTTTAGATGGTATTGTCTCTGGTAAGAAAGAATAGTGAGATCTTTGAGATGTATTTGCACCTAGGCAGCTCTTATTTCTCTTCCTGTTCTACTCTGTCTCCCTGAGTGGGAGGCAGCATACCTGTCCTGGGTGTGTGTATCTTACAGTCTTTAAGAAAGGTTAGATATCTCTCCCCAAGAGAGGAACTGGAGTTTAAGGCATAATTAGAAAGGAATGAGAAAAGAGAGAGCTATCCCAGTTATAGCCTAAGGATTCTAAGAAATAGCAAGTTACTTCCTCTCCAATGACTCCCTTCCCTGAAGTGTGACAGCTAAAAGGAACCGTGAAACAAACTTTAAGTTATCTTGGTGGGACCTCCAAATGATATAGATGATGAAATACGTAACACCCAACTTGCTACATGTCAGATATGCAAAATTCGTGTTCTCCTAAATTGAACAATGGATGTTAAGAGTAGAAAATATTTATTGAAAGACACAGCTCCTGAGAGATAGGAGGGAATCTGAAGGTGGGTTGCCACTTCATAGAAGTTATTTTATAGAGCAAAACCACAATGTGGGTTCAATGTGGGTCAAAACTATGACCAACCAATAAGATTACAAATAGAGTTGCTTAGGTAAGATTGATCCAATGGGAAAGCAGGTCATTAAAGCAAGTCTACATGGGGGAGAACAAAGACCTTTTTAGGAAGTGGTGCATCAGGAGATCCTGGTCACTCACCTAAGTGACTAATGTCTATCTGGATTTTATTGCATAGGTAACATCGATTATAGTATTATAGCTTATCTGTTCGGGGGCCATATAGATCTGGTCATTCTATAAATCTTAAATCCTGTTCTCTAGCAGATATACCTCCAGTCATAATTGTAATATGTTTTTATCCTTTGCACTGAGACCCTCAAACCTATCCCTGTCTGATTACTTGTAATATTTCTACCTAACCAGCTTTCTGAAATATGGATACTTAAAAGATACAATGCCTTAAAGTGCTATATATGAACAACTTTTACTATTCATTTATTCTATAAATTAATCAAAAAATATAAGTTAATCAAGGCATTTGACATCATAATAACAACTCAAGGTGGTTATGGGAGCAAAGTTGGAAATTACATTTCAGTATCTATCATTAGGCCTCACACATTTTTAATTGTTAAAAATAATAAAATAAAAACTGAAAAAGTAGAAAATTAAAATATTCTGAATATTAACAAGAAAGTATATTTCAATTATTAGTGAAAAGGAGAGCTTTGTCCTCTCAAATGATGAATAATGTGCATTGTTAACTGAAAGGTGGAATCATTGGAACTGTATTCATTCTTTAAGGCATAGAAAAATAATTATAATAATATAGACTCTGTTGAAATAAAGCATTTTTTTTCTGAAATGATAGTTTATACTGAGTAGTTGCTCTTTAACTTTTAGAAATTTTCCCAGTTTTCTAGGCCTGTAGAGTGGGAGATTAGTTTAATTCTCTTTAGTTTTTAATTTGTCCTAACACTTTTAATACATACTTTAACTGTAATAAGTTTTTGATTCCTGAGGCATAAAGTTAACTACCCGCAGTCATTGTATGCTGTATCTATCCAGTAAAAGTCTATTAATGTGACATAATAGAATTAGTGTCTCACTTCTGAGACGTAAGCAGTCACTATATACACATTTATTTAGTCAGTGCAGGATTTTGTCTTTGAAAAACCTATAATTTAGACTACATGATAGAAGGCATATTTTAGTGATAAACGTAATGAGATTAACATATATTGTCATACCCATATCCTTAAGATATGAACATTTTGCATCTAGAAATCAAACTGTTATTACAATTGAAAACACTTGACAAATAAATAAATATGAACACGATATTCTGGGCTTAAGTATATTGATTCAAGCTCTGTTTATGTTATGTTAATATTCATTAGAGTGAGATGTGACACCCTTATTTCACTGTAGGTGTGCATTTCAGGACCAAGTGATATTTATTTCTGTCCCACTTTCCCCTTTCTCTCCCGCAGTGGTCTCTCCTTGCTGATCCTCAAGCAACAAGGTATCACCTCACTGCAGTTTCAGTCCTTGAAGGAAATCAGTGCGGGAAATATCTACATCACTGACAACAGCAACCTGTGTTATTATCACACCATTAACTGGACAACACTCTTCAGCACCATCAACCAAAGAATAGTGATTCGGGATAACAGAAAAGCAGAGAATTGTAGTAAGTTCATTTCCCAGACACTTAAAACATAGAATCTCTAAAATTGTTCTAGTCTACATTGTCCCAACAGCGGAAAATATCATCAAGTCAGAAGTGCTGTCCTCTCATCTCAGCCCTGAAAAAGAGTAATAGCCATACTCAGCCACATGACATAAAATAATCGGAGATTGTCGTGTTTCATTACCTACTGTGTGTTTGCAAATCTCCCCTAATATTAGGGATTTTATGGAGATTTATAATTAGTAGGCTCTAATCACCTTGTAGATATCCCCTTAGACAATTGTTTACTGTAGAGTTTTGGTGAATTTGGAGTATAGAAACAAGAGTTTTGCTATTTTGGAGTCAAAGAAGAGATAAAGTTGTGTTCTTTTGAAATGTGTAAAAAAAATACTTTTCCAGAAGTTTACTATATGAAAAAATGTGTATTTTACAAATGTATTTGTATTGGCATATAATGATCTCTTTTTTCATATGTTTTGATACATATCGATGCATTTCATTGCTTGTCACAGAAAGGGAAATAATGTTTTCCTGAGCGTGTGACTGCCCCACTCCTACTTAAAATGATGTTACAATTGCATGCGTCTTTGCTTTATTAAAAATGAAAAGTAAAGCTAAAACACCTACAGGAAAAAACTTAAATGTAAAGTTAAAGGGAAAATAAGAAAGACTCCCGTGTGAGTAGCTGCGGCGGGGCACACCCTGCTACACGGTAGACCTGCCCGCTTTCAGAAGAAGGGTTTGAAGCTTTCAAGTGTTAGCTGGCTGGGGTCTGGTTGATCACACTCAGGTCTGATGTCATAGCTGTGCAATCCTTATTCTTACAGCTGAGAGATGTTCCCTTTCCAGGTTCCTCTTCAATTCTGTTATCTCAGTCAACTGGTGTTGTGTTTTCTTGGACTCTGGGTGATGCACCAATGATCTAGGATGATCGTTGGCAGCTCTGGGGGTACCTGAAAGTCCCCATTAGCTTCTTATCATGAGATCCTAAGTCTTGAAGGGTCATGAGGTCATGTAAAGTCAGGCCTAATCAACCCTGTCCCTGGGCAGATACTCCCTAAAAGATCAGCATACTGCTTGGAGGCTATTAGGTGAGATTCCACCCAAGATTTACGGTAACAAAATGTACAGAATGAAGGTCAGATTTGGTTGTTGTTAGTTGTCTGTTGGGCAGTTATAGGCCCAAATGAAGAGACATGGTTCACAACAAAAATGGCTTCTAAGTCTCTCACTTTCCCAGCAGAAAACACAAACCATGCTTTTGGTAAGTAGCAGGTTAAGAACCCAGGAGTCTGCCTGCCCAGTCCTGTGGTGGTCCCGGATTATTTCATGACTATGTCACTTCTAAGACTATCATTCAATGCTTTCTGATTTTTCTACTAGACACAGTGACTTCTGGATCTTACTAGTGTCACTACTTCTTATATAACAATCTGATCTATTCATAGTAAAAACTAATTATAAAGACTCAGAATTCAAATGATTGGTTTATAAATAAATACGTATTCTTGCTGTGGGCAGCTTGATGAGTCTGTTCCTTTTTAGAAGTGCTGCTTCCAGGCCGCTCTCCTACTTGTGATCTCATAATCATATTATCAAGGTATTTATAAAATTGTGATTGAGGTCACTGGTGTGCATTTAAATGAACAGCAGATGATATTTTTAAAGTTTAGGTACTCTAGAGGTTAACATTATTTGAGTAATTAGTGAGTTGAATAATTAACAAATCAACTCATTTTTAGTGCCACATCTTGTGCCAGAGAAGCTCTAAAGCCTCTCAAGCTGAGGATTTAGCTCAGTGGTATAAGCACCTGCCTGGCAAATGCAGGGTCATGAGTTTGATCCCTGGTAACAAAATAAATAAATAAAGCCTCTCAAGCTAACATTGTTCAAAAACCGTCACTTATAATTTATGAGGAACTCATATGCTGGATTCTTGTTGACTTCTAAAAATATTTTTTAGAAGAAAAGAGGTCTATTGCAACATGAGATTCCTAAGTGAACTTAAATTCTTACATATCCTTCTTTTCCACATAGAATCAAGGAATATAAGATCTATTTATGTATCAAATATACTTATCCCTATTAAATAAAATTCATCTTTTCCTTATGCTTTTACATTGCTAATTCCTGACCAAGTTTTTCTTGCTTTTTCTGTAACATTTGTTTCTTTTCTCACATTTCTCTATATATGTATGCAAGTATCCGAAATAATTATTCAACTCTGTTTACAGCCAAACATTTTTATATGATCCATTTGCAAATCCTACTAACATTTATAACATTTTAAACTTTTATACCTGAACAAAAAGTACTGAGAAGGAAATACAGAAAGAAATTAAAATGTAGAAAAAGCAAAATGAAAAAATAGTTTTCATTAAATTATTTTATACCTTTTAATGACTTCTAAATTTTAAAATAACTACAATAGAACAAGCAGTAATAAAAATGTCAATAATTTAAAAGCTCAAAAATGATCTTGAACTTTCAGCGTTAGGTCTCTTGGATAAGTTTAGTTACCTTGAATCCATGGAAATTTTCCTTTCCTGACCACTTAGATTTGTCTCTGTAATTTGAGGAACGGATGAAGCAGTTAGGAAAAACATAGTTTTGTGGTACATAGCATAAAATCAAGCAGATAATTTTTCATTTTAACATCTGAGGCATGAAATTCATTTATCAAAATGCAGGCTTCAGTCTTACTGCATATTGCATTCACGAAACTCCCCGATCTGCATTTTCAGGAATGTAATTAACTTTGAAACATGACCCCAGAGATGATGCTATTGATGTTTACAATGATACTACAAGTGGTTTTTCACATCTGATAAAAGTCTTGTCTTCTATATTCTCAGCAGTGTGCAGGTGCAAATATTTTCTTTAAAGTGTATTGTAAATAATGCATTTTAACATAGTCTTTCTGTATTCACACACACGCACCGACACACGTATGATAATTGAGTGTATGTTCTTATTCCTCATAATATATATATATATATATATATATATATATATATATAGTATTGACACATGCACATACAGGATAGATGGATATGCGCAAACCCAGATTGTACCTAGACTCGCATATATCTTATATATGCCTTAGCCTTACCCCACATTTTCCTCATTATAAAATCCTCTGATCTAAATCTGGGAGTTGCTTTGTTCATGTGAAAGAAAAAACAACCCTTCATTTACAACAGTGGCTTTTGGAATGCAAGATGATTCAAAAACCATAATGATAATAAAAGGAAAACTTTACCTCACCTGTAAAGGGTAATGGTGGCTTAGAAAGGTTTACTCTTTTAAGTCAGAACTTTCGAAGCAAATTTTGTGGTTTCGAGAGATTGAAATGGAGAGAAACTTGTAAGAAATGAAGAGCAACATGCTTTCTGCTTCCTTTACTTATTGGCTATGGTACTAGCAAAATAAGTGTTTGGTGCAATAACTTTTGTGTAGGTTGATGAAAAATTTTAAATTTTCTTTTAAAAAATTCAGCAGAAATTTTTAAAGTTGAAAGAAAAAAAAAACCAGAGATAGAGATAAATGTTCTACCAACTCCTCAAAATCCAGGTTACATGGGAACTCACACACCTCATACTTTAAAAATATTTATTCCTCTAACTAAATGCAATGTATAAAACAGAGTAATGAAATTCCGTATAGATTTTCAAAAGGGAAATGTGTTTATTTTTTCTAATTATAACACTTTTTATATTGTTGGAATCTAAAACAATAAAACATTTATAAAGAAGATGTATGTTTAGCATAGATGTATGTAATAGACAAATGATTGATAGTAAAAACATTTCAAATGTAACTGGATCATACCATATACACGTATTGACTACTTAGGCATCTATGGCTTTTGCTTACTATATTATGAGCATTTCCCATCCTGATATATAGAGTGCTTTGTTATTCTTTTTAAAAGCTTCATATAAATGTTTTTATTGCATCAGTGCCATATTAACATAATTTGAATTATTTTCCATTTTTTCTTATTACTACCACCATAATATAGATACTAATTCATAAAACATTTTACATATGCAATTACTTCCTTAGGCTAAAAAGTTAGAAGTGGAATTTCTGTGTAATTGAGGCAATATAAAATTTTCATATGTATTGCTATATCATTCTTCAGAAATACTGGTTCAGTTTACATTTGTTCAAAACTCTATATGATAGAAATATTTTCCACCTCTCTTTATAGCCCCAGAATGTCCATTATTCTAATTTTCAGTGATCTTACAGAAGAAAAAGAAGTCTTTTATACTTACATGTTTTGGGTTAATATTGAGCATATTGTATATTTTATAAATTACTTTATTCATGAATCTTATTTACTTTCAATTTGAAAGTTTTTTTTATTTTATTTGAAAAAATTCAACACATTAAATACATTAACTTTTTGTCTCTTGTTTTGCACACTTTTCTGTCTTCCAAGTGTTTTTTAAACTTTTATATTTTTGTAAACAAACATATTATAATAATTTACCTAAGAAAATGAATTGCTGCTTACTAATTTGATCTTGACATATTCTTAGTTTTTGTCTTCATTACATTAAAAAACCATATGGAAATTTTTAATCTATACAGAAATTTTACTTTAGTGCACTTTTAAATAATCTCCAATTGATAATAATATTGATCCAACACAATTTATTAAATAAACTATTGCATAATTTATCCCTCTTCACTCATTTTAGTCATCTGCAGGATTTCTACAAATAATCAGTTAAAAAGGATGCCAGATCCTACTCTGAATCTATCTGTGTAGTTAAATTTAATTGTCACAAGCACCCTGTAAATTATAATTATCCCCATTTTGTAGGAGTGTAGACATGTCAGAAAAGTTAATTAATATTTCCAGCGTTTGGAGCTAAAAATAATATCCTGGATTTGACTTCAGTATCTTTCTGATTTCACAAACCAGGCTTTTTACTTTATCACATCCTGTTACAATAAAGAGAAAGTGATTGATTTTCATAATAAAA